TCTTTTCTTAGAGCTCCGAGATTCGTTTCTTAATAGCTTTTGGTGTCTTTCGTAGTTTTTATTAATTTTTATATTTCAGAAAATTTGTGTTTTGATGATCAGCGGAAAGAGTTGTGATTGAAGATGATTTTTATATTTTATATTTTATATTTTATTTTATTTTTATTTTATTTTTATTTTATTTTTACTTTATTTTTATGTTTTTTTATTTTTTTATTTTTATTTTATTTTTATTTTTTTATATAAAGTATTATGACTATATTGTAAAACAATAATTCTAACAAAATTGCTAAACTATTATTTTAAGCTAAAGATTTTAAAAAAAAATATTTTTTAAATATACTCTAGTAATTAGTATTAAAAAATACTTGTTTGCAATAATAAAAAACTAAATAATCTTTTTGTATAAATTTTATAATTAAAAATAATAAAATAATGCACATCACATGATCTAAAAAACCTAAATTTGCATAGTTTTAATATTAAAAAAAATGGTTTATTCACCTTTCAACCTTTCAAATTTCAACAAGTATTAAAATAATTCAGCTAAAACTATTTAAATGGTTAGACGGTTCCAATCCTTGAATTAGGTTTATTAAGCAACAAAAGGAGGTTATATACATATCTACGACTTGTTACATAATAATAGAACAATGGTTATTAAGTCTAAAGACTTGCTCTCGCTCCACCTCAAAATTAACCGTATACTATAAATTACAAATAATTTACTATCATAAAACAATCTTTTAGAATTTATATAAATGAAAATATACAAAGGAAGGAGATTATAGGTGCTGTGTTCAAATAAAAACCGAGAACTTAATGCTATATAAAAAGTGTAAATAATACATTTTAAAGTGTATGTGATACTGTTAGTACAACCGTTATTGTAATTTTGTATTTTTGTCTATAAGTGAATGAACTAAAGTGAAAATGTTAGCTTGAAAAAGCAAGGAGAGAAATTATACATTTTGTTTCTTACTCGAGGAATAAAGATAACTATTTATTAAATTTACTGGGTAAAAAAAAGGGGTAAAAATTATGACTCCTTTGAATCCTTTAAATGTATTTGATATTTGCCTTCTTTCAATAAATTCATTTGAAGTCTCGTTTTTGAACCATCAGGTCGTTGTATTACCACCTGGATTGTTTAAAAATGAATAGCTTATAAATTTAACTACTTAACATGTTTTTAAGCTACATTATTAATAAAACAAAAGAAAACAATAGTTACCTCTGAATCTGTTGCAGCCAAAAATTTGGCAGTATATCGACCAGACGTAGAATCGATTACGAGAACAGCGTCTCCTTTTTTGAATGATTGCCCCAAATGCAAAAACCGATCTCCCGATGAACTTACATCAGGATACTCCTGCGAAAGAAACGGATTATTATTATTATCCGATATGTTTGGTCTCGGCATTGTACTTATTTGAGGTGATGTGGATGATGGGGATAGGTCAGGAACTATGATAATAAAATTGTTAAACCAAGACATACAAAAGTTATACAAGATCATTCAAATATAAGCATACCTTGGACGAATGTTTCTTTCGAAATCTAGTAAAAATAAGTGGATGAATGATCATAATACTAAGATCTTATCTATATACCTGCATACAAACTAACAGATATTATTTACCCCCATCAATGCAAAATCTTCGTCAATGTCAACAGCATGCAATGGATCTAACGATGGAGGTAAGTTTCAGTCAAAGAAAAGTATATATATATATATATGTTTGTTTTTTTTGGTTTTTATTTTCTTTTGTAAAATCAAAATTTCTCGAATAAAAAGGATATCTGCTGGAAAACCATGATTATCTTGTAAATATTTTAATTCTTTTAAAATATGTAACCGTTGATCTTGAAGTTGTTTCAGATAACTTTGTTCTGGTGCCAAATATTCTGATTTGTTACATAAAATAACCCAAATTTAACGACGTTGTTAAGTGTATCAGGCCGTAAATGATAAAATGACGAATTTAATTACTAACCAATGCGTGAATAATCATCAAGATTATTCTTTTCTCTTATCAACTTAAATCGACGGTTTTCCAAATCATCTAGTATATGCCTCTTCAGTGCATAACGATCTGACTAATATAAAAAGATGATAAGTAAATGCGAAAATCAGCCGGAAACAGTCAAAACTCACCAAGAATTGGCGATGTGTTCTATACTCCGATTCTTCATATTGTCTTTGACAATGCAATTCTTGATATCGTTTCCGTGATGATGTTATCTCTGAACGTTTTCTCCGTTTCTTATCAATTTCGTCCATACATGATATTTGATCAGGATGAACTCCTATTATAAATGGTTATTAATTAATGATGTAATGATGTAAAGGCAAAAACACCCATATTTATAGAAATGTAAAGATTAATCATTTATCACTACAAAAGAAGGAAATCATCATACCTTGTTTTATTTCCGCAATTTCTTTATCAAGTTCTTGGATTTGTTCACGATAAAGTCTAATAAATATTAAAGACATTTATAATGACGATTTATTTTGTCGGAAAGTATAACCATTCATTAATATACATACTGATCTCTCAGTTGTACAAAGTCTATTTCAATCTTTTTTAAATCTTCTTGGACTTCAACTCGTGGTTTATCATTTTCATCGTGTTCTATAGTCGAAATAAATATGATAGAAATAAGTATATATTGTAAAGCCATGACCACATGAAGAAACAAATTATTTGTAACTACGCCACGCTTATATAAGGTTGTCTGATGACATCTGTACCACTTTAACAACCCCCGGAAAATATAATGGGATGCACATGAATGCATTTCTTTCGCATCTGTCACAATGAACTCTGACAGATCAATTCGATCTTTGTTGTGCTTTTGGATTTTGATACATAATTGCAAACATGGTTTAAAATAGAAAAGAATCATGCCTTCTGGCTTATAGATTGTAGGTGTACTACCGTCGTCTTCATTTTCGTTTTGGTCACGCTCATCCCAACGTCTTTTTTTGCACATTCGATTATTTTCTAATGCATCCATTTTCGACGATGATTCATCCTCAGATGTGATGCTAGTAGCGGTGATGTTAGAAATTTTAAGCTTTGGATCATCATGCAATAAGGATGGAGATTCTGATAGCGAACTAATTTCGGATGAATCGTTGGGCGTTGAAGAGGACGTTGGGCTATCCAATTTATCCGATATTTTGTTGTCCGGAGAATCACTGCTAGTATGTTGTATTGTTGTGCCATTAGACTCTTTAATTACGTCACCATTTGCTTCCCCTTCGGCGACGGGTTTCCAAGCCTTAGATTTAAGGCCATTTTTTTCTGCTTTTGTCTGTTCCTCTTTTTCAGAATCTGAAGGTTTTCTTACTTCGCTTTCGTTATCCGTACTAATTTGATTGTTAGATTGGATTCTTGGTGCGAATGTCGACCCGGCTTTAAAAAGTTCTTGACTGTCGGATTGCTTATCGAGCCTTTTGTCGAGAGGACGACTCATTGATGTAGACGCTTTCAACATCAAATCGAGGGCTTGCAAAAGACTATACACGAAAAAGAAGGCGTAGAGTTTGGGATTTGGGGAAAAAAAAATTTTTTTATAATCAATAAGTAGATTTTATTCTTTAATGCAAGCAAAAAAAGTTGGTTTACAAGGTAAAAAAGAACAGACTAACAGACAAAATAATGAGCATGTGGGAAAACTGCGTGGTACGCAATAACATTTTATGACGTTAATATTCCGAACACAATAACTATACATAAAATGCAGGAGCAAACTAAGCCACTGATTCATATTCATGACACACAAACTCTTTTGTACGCACGTAAGTACGTCCGTACGTACAATTTGTCACGCAGATCACAGGGTAAATTTTTTCGAATAATCGATGCATTTAAAATTTTGTAATAAAATTTGTCAAATGTTTCTCGGCTTTACGTTGTGAAAAAATTATTAGAGTAATTTGCCTGTTTTCTGGCATTTAAAGATCCCTTGTGCAAGCATTTAAAGGTCCTTTGTGCAAAATTTTTTTAAATTTTTGTAGTGGTTAAAAATAAAATTAAGGCATACAAAGTTAAACAATTGTTTCTCATAATATCGATATAGAATTCTAGAAGTGACCCGCCAGCCTAGCTTTTAATTTTTAATTATAAAAAATTTTATAAGCTTTTTTGCCAAAAAAATATTAAAAGACTTATAAAAAAAAACTAATAATAATAAAAATTTTGTATCAAAAATTTATAAAAGCTGACCCGGCCCGGCGGGTTATGAGAAACAATTAATTAACTTTATATGGTTTAAGAATTTGCATAATTTCAACAATCAATAAAATTGATGCAAACTGCCAGCATCTATGTACTCGGTTTCTGTCACGTGACGACGATCACGATCAGATTCGTGATACAGTTATTAAATGAGTAAAAACCCTTAGATAAGATTTGCGGGTTTTTTCTTGGCGGTATTCAAATATTCTAATAATCCAATTTTTTAATATCTAATAAAAACAAACTTTGAATAAAAATATTTTAATATTTACAAGACTAAATTAATTAAAGAAAAAATATAAAAGCAATATTAAAAAAAAATTAAAATATTTTATTATTTAGAAAAAAATTATTTTATTTTATTTTTTACTTTAGTAATTTTACCTTTATTTTATTAATTAGAAATAATTTACAAATATGTTCTCAGTTGGTTAAAACCTATATACAAATTGAAAAGTTTAATTTTTAGATGAAGTTATTACCTTTTCTTTGTCATATTATTAGATTAAAAGGAATAGCTTCTGACTGCTTGAAAATTGAAACTATACAAAAGATTCAACCTCTAAAGAATACTACCAAGCTACAATCTTTTCTTGATTTAGTTAGATATTATTGACAATTTATTTGAAATTTCTTTGCTATATTCTAATTTTTGAATCAACTACTTCATAAAGATAAACTCTATTATTTGAGAAGCAAACAACAACAAACAATTACCATATTTCTGCGATATGTGTATCTGGGGTATTCCCTAGCTTATATTATGTACCTGGGTACTTGTGTGAAGGATATACCATATGAATACTTCTATGTATTCAATATGTTTTACTATTAAATTCCTGGGTTATATAAGTATAATATTCAAATATTATCTGACATTTCATATGATCATGTGAATTTTTTTGCCATGATATTGTTGACATAAAATTACGTAATCAGTTTTGCAAAATATCACAGAAAAAACTTCACATGGTCATATTAACTATCGGATAACAATAATATTCGGCATACGTACAACAAATAACAGGTCATTTTTTTTCTTCATCGGAGTTAATTAAATTCACTCATGTGCTGCGTAGCAGCACATAGAGTGATATTAACTCCGACGAAAAAAAATGACCTATTATTTTTTGTCGTCTGCCAAATATTCTATACATAATTTTTTTACCAAATTGAATATTCGAATATTTAACTTTTTCACTAAATATTCAATAAATATTCAATGAATATATATATATTTAAATCTAAACTACAAAAAACATTTCTTGAATATTCATTGAATATTCAATAAATATTCAGTAAATGTTTTTTGTGGCTTAGCTAAATACTATTATACAAAATTTATTTTTAGATATTTTATTTTATCCTACACTCCTATATGTTGTTAATCTATAAAAAAAAAGGAGTTTTTATTGGAGCTACATTAAATATTAGAACTCTATTTTTAATATAGCATCAATAAAAACTATTTTTTTTATAGATTAATAATATATAGGGGTGTAGGATAAAATAAAATATAAAGGTGTGGCAACTTAGTGAAGTGGTCAAGTTGTTGCACCCCCAAGCGGCAAGACAAGAGTTCAAATCCCATTGGCGATGAAATTTAAATTTTACAGAATGTGTTATAGCAGACTGTGTGTAATCTGATGGATCATCAGATTTGTAAACTTGGTTATACTAGAGGTTATTGGAAAGCTGTGAAACTATAGTGTAATGTATAAATTATATGAAACCTAAGTGAAGCAGCTATGTAAATCCAGGTATTAGAACACACGGAAGTTCACTTGGCAAGTTCTGAGTAGAGAGGTAGCACAGACTTCTGACAGTACTATGTAAAAGGCTATCTAAGGGATCCAGATACTGATTTCAGTAGTCTGGATAAGGACTGGTGTTTGGCAAGACACTATACCAACCAGGCTATCAGATGAGTAACCAGAGAAAAAGGACCCAACCATAGGAACCAGGAGCAGATCACAGCCCCTCTGGGCTATCTGAATTGGGAGTTTAGATTACTGACAGAACTTAGGTACTGGTGATAGTCTATAAAGTATATTGTAATATAACAATATAGGGTCTTAGTAAAGCTATACTACTTGATTTTACATGTAAAAGAGTTAAGAAATGTGTTTGCAAATAAGAAAAGAATAAAATAAGAAAGAAAGTTAAAAGAGACTTTAAAGTAAGACAATAAACCAAAAATAAAGAAAAAAGCCAATGGCTCTAATCTTAAAATACAATAGAATATTCAAGAAAAGTAAGAAGAGGTGATAGCTCAACTCAATATACCAAAAATAAATACTCAAAGAAGAAAGAAGAGGCAATGGCTCAACTTTAAATACTTAATAAAAACACAATAAAAACTTTATTAAATATAATAAAAAGAAGGTAGGTGATAGCTATACTTCCAAGAAAATAAGTTGTAATTAACAAGGAAATAAAAGTGAGCAGAAGACAGTCTATTTATTAAAAATAATCTATAAATAATAAAAAACTAAAAGTGAGTAAGGAAAGTCTAATTATTAAGACCTTAAAAGAGAAGAAAGAACAGTCTGCTCTGTCTTGAAGAAAAAGGCAAGGATTTTATATCTTTTGAACTATTAGTAAACGACCCAGTTAATGATCTAGTTAACGATCCAGTTAATGACCTAGTTAACAACCCAGTTAACAACCCAGTTAACAACCCAGTTAATGTCCTTTTAACAACCCAGTTAACGACCCTTTTAACAACCAGTTAACAACCCTTTTAACAACTCAGTTAACAACTCAGTTAATGACCCAGTTAATGACCCAGTTAACGACCCAGTTAACGATCCTTTTAACAACTCTTTTAACAATTCAGTTAATGACTCTTTTAACAATCCAGTTAACAATCCAGTTAACGTACCTGTTAACATACCTGTTAATATACCTAATATTATACTAAAATTACTACTATTTGTCAAAAATTTTACTATTAAACTAAAGCTAAAA